TTTAACCTGGATTTATGAGACTATTTAACACTCCTACCAAGAAGAGGATTAATTAGATATAAACTCACACAGGTAAACATTAGAATCTACAGGTGTGCTCAGGTAGGTAACGTCAGATTCTACTGATGTGTATAAGTATTACCAGAGAGAAGTTCGTAAAACCGAGAGTCCATTAGATGTGAAATCCCCATGTAACGAACTATATAGAGAGGAAAATCCGTTATATCGAAAAAAGTAAAGTCCGGTATATGGAGGTTTCACTATATACACCCCACCCCCAAAAAATTCCATCGTTCACTAAATCCGATATAACGAACTGAATCCGATTTTTTTTTTGGAGTTACGATAACATTGCCGAGTAAACGTGACATACTTGCCATCCAATTCACTCAGGCACTGTCGCTCAAACTCGCGTGACGTGGGGAAGTGACAGCAATTAATTATCTGTACATCACTTACCTGCCTGCAGATTCTGTTGATTTATGAAGTGAGAGAGAGAGAGAGAGAGAGAGAGAGAGAGAGAGAGAGACGGGGGCAGAGATATAGAGAGGCAGACAGAGGGAGACAGAGAGACACATTGAGAGAGAGAGATTGTGAAGAGTTAATGTCTCTCTTTTTCTTTGTTCTGTTTCCGTGTTGTATAAAAGAGAACCATAAGGGCGTGTATATTATGAACATAACAACAACAACAATCACAACAACATCATCAATAACATCAATAACAAAATCCCAAGAACCATTACATAAACCATTACATAAACCCCACCAGGTAAAAGTAAATACCTTTTGTCGGTTTAATTAATGAATAAAAAACAAACAAAAAACATTAAATAATCCTAAAACTCAAGTGTCAAATAAAACAACAAAAACAAGCCAATAAAACACACACAAACACATCAGGTATATTATTGACATTCTCTCAATAGTGTTTTAGATAATAATGAAATATTTTAATACACGAAAACTGAAATATTGACAAAATTAATTACATTGGAAAAAGCAAAAAAAAAAAACAAAAAACCACGATTTTCATTTTTGTATTGGATTTGTTTGTATCCCCCCCCTTTCCTACACACACACACACACACGCACACACACACACATACACGTAATCATTTGACGTAGAGAAATTTATTTGTGTCTTTCTCTTCAGGTTGACTTTTGTGTTTGAGTTAATATACGACACAGAAAACAGGTGATGATTGACGTCAACAGGTGATAATTGACGTCAACAGGTGATAATTGACGTCAACAGGTGATAATTGACGTCAACAGGTGATATAATTGACGTCAACAGGTGATAATTGACGTCAACAGGTGATAATTGACGTCAACAGGTGATAATTGACGTCAACAGGTGATATAATTGACGTCAACAGGTGATAATTGACGTCAACAGGTGATGATTAAGATAAACGAAAAATTAAAGCAAGAATGGTGAAATAATTTACTTTTCCTTTATTTGAGTATGTATGTATGTATGTATGTATGTATGTATGTATGTATGTATGTATGTATGTATGTATGTGACCGCTCGTGTTGACCATTGGTTCTACAGTACAAACTCACTCGACCAGTCGTCCTCACCTGCGAGTTAATTAAAGTTCATAAGGTCAGGTCGTTCTCTTGGTCGTATCTGCAGAGAGATATCCGCTACTAATGACACGACTCCGAATTGCTTGACCTCGGAAGGGAACGGGCTGTAAACTTAAGCTCTGTGATTGGCCAATGACTTTAAGCTCTCTGAGTGGTCTAGTGACTTTAAGCTCTCTGATTGGCTAGTGACTTTAAGCTCTCTGAGTGGCCAATGACTTTAAGCTCTCTGAGTGGTCTAGTGACTTTAAGCTCTCTGATTGGCTAGTGACTTAAGCTCTCTGATTGGCCAGTGACTTAAAGCTCTCCGAGTGGCCAGTGACTTAAGCTCTCTGATTGGCTAGTGACTTAGGCTCTCTGAGTGGCCAGTGACTTAAGCTCTCTGATTGGCCAGTGACTTAAGCTCTCTGAGTGGTCTAGTGACTGAGTGTCCAATAGTAGCAGCAACAGTAATAATTCCCCATCCCCTCCTCACTCCCTCATTCCCCTACCCCACTTACCAACCCTGTAACGCACCTACTTCCTCCTAACGCACTCACATCCCTAACGAACTCACTTCCCTACCCCATTCCCTTCCACCCACGCACCCACCTCCCTCCATCCCCCACCAACTCCATCACTTCCCTCCCTTCAACACACTCCACGCTCCCACCTCCCTCCCTCCAACACACCCCACCCACGCACTCACCTCCCTCACTAACCAAGCGAGAGAGATGATCGACCAGAGGCCTCGTCAACGTTGCTAAGTGAACCATTGTCAGCCATCCTTTCGCATGGCTGAACGCATCTCTATGTCTGGTCAATACCCCCCCCCTCTCCCTTTCCTCACCCCCTCCCTTTCCTCACCCCTCCCTCCCTCCTCCCTATGTCGGAACACAAAGGAGACGGGAGGTAAGTTAAGACAGGAAGAATGTCTGTATGTCTTCCTGTGTGTGTCTGTCTATATTTAGGATTATTAATGTCTGTTTTTCTGTCTGGCTGTATGTCTATGTCTATTTCACTCATTAAGGTAACTACCACGGTATATAAATTCCTATTAGAATATGTGTCTAGTATTTATTTATCTATAATCACTGTAGTATTTCTCTTATTTCATATATCTATAATTTAAGACATTACTTGTATAAAATATTTCTTATAATTGATCTAGTACTGTAATTAAAATAACCTTGTATAAAATTATATTACATAAATCATATATAACTGCTAAATCCTCAGAAGAAACAAGACTAACATTTATTTATATATTATTAACATCTAAAGTAAGTAAATACAATAATTATTATTTTTTTTAAACATTATATATAAATTCGGGATATAAACATTTCATAATATTCATAGATAAATTTAATCTCGTCTCCCGCTGCTAAAATGGTAATAACGCGTCGTGTCTTTTTCACTGATGTTCTTTGGGGTGAGTTTTATGGAGAATGGAAATGTAAATTGTGTGTACAGTGTAAATATTTATCGTGGTAGAGAGGAAGAGGAGGAAGAAGAGAGGATAAAGGAGGAGGAAGAGGAGGTGGAGGAAGAGGGAAAGGGGGTTGAAGAAGGATAGGAAGGAGAAGAAATACGAAAAAGTTGTGGAATATGAGGAAGAAGTGGAGAAGGAGGAAGAACAGGGAGGTATTATGGAGGAGGAGGAGGAGGATGGAGAAGAGGAGGAGGATGAAGAGGAAGAAGAGGAGGAGGAGGAGGAGGAGGAGGAGGCGGTCATCATAAAACTCTGAATGCCTGGCTGCTCAAAGCTTAGTACACTTTAATGGTTTGGTGATTCCGGTAGTGATTCTCCTCACTGCCACCACGTTTCTCTGTGTTTGTTAGGAAGTGTAAGTGTAACCATAAGTGTAGGTGTAAGTGTAGGTGTGTGTGTGTGTGTGTGTGTGTGTGTGTGTGTATGAAGGACAGAATAAAAGAGAATATAATAATTAACACAACACTCCACACACACCACGTACTGTATAGAGACGAGATAGTGAAACGTGGCTGGATGTTTCCGTAGAGTTTATTACCAGGCTCGCTTACATACGTTCTGACTCCCGCTAACTTTAATGACAAATATTTATCACTGATTTGTTGAAAAAAAGGCTAATTACATACACACGAGTTTCTATAAAATAAACACTATTAAATAAATTGTTGACTTTGATAATAACTGTGGATTCAGTGGGTTAAGTGATAGGATTTAATTTTACACATACACCTGGCTGCCCCGACACGCGCTCTCTGAATGACGTGTCGGGAAAAATTATCGTACACTCAAATTATTATGTAATTATCACCAATTTTATAATATTTCTGATGTATTTTTATATATTATCACTGTAATTATTTCTACATATTATTATTAGTACCCTGTTGCTATGATTGAAAAAAATGTATATACGATTATTATCATTAAAATTTTGTTCTATAATATTTTAGTGTCTGAAAATGTATCAATCCTCTTGGTATATAACAAGTGGAATATATTCTATTAAAAAACATCCTAAAGCCTTTGAAATAAACGTATATATTCTTCATTCATTTAATATATATATATCTATATACTATTTTCGCAAAACTACATTAGTCCATCCAGTATTTTTCGTTTTATTCTCATCCTTAAAAACTCTAACAGATATATCCACAAAAAGTGCGACTCGTTAGTTTACTGTTGTGAAAAAAAAAACTGTAGAATTGGTGTAGTTAATTTTAATGACAGGTGATGTTACTAGACTATGGTTGTTCAGTACATTTTGGAGCCTAAAATATAAAAGTTTAGAATTATGTGATGAATACTGGGAAAAACTATATATGTGTATTAATGAATGTATATAATGACATACTTATATATTTACATACAAAACTCGTACATGTATACATAAAGACACAGACACACACACAAATGTACACACACACACACACACGTACACACACACACAGACACACACACACACACACACACACACACACACACACACAGGCTGATATAAATGCACTCATTCCAGGAACTGATAGAGACAACTGGACACACTCACGCACCTTCTGTATAAACACGAGAGAAAAATACATAGAATAACAAAACACACACACACACACACACACACACACACACGCACACACACACACACACACACACACCACGTGAACGCTAGACCATGTATGTTATAGGAGATTTTCACAATTAACGGACCCCTCGATATAACGGACTTTCATTTCTTATATAGTCCGTAAGAGAGAGCTTCTCACTATAACAAAATTTGATATAACGGACAATATTTATATCTTATAGTCCATTAAATAGAAGTTTCACAGTAAATCATTTCGATATAACGGATTTTCTCTCCTAAAATCCGTTAAATAAAAGTCTATCACTATCCGTTAAAAACACTAATTAATGTTACCCCTTTCTGCCCCTTCTACAGTGATGGTGTTATTCCGGGCGGCTATGTTGGGTGTGATGGGCTTGTTCCCTCTTGCCTGGTGTTTGTCCCTGGGTGGCGGACGGGCGGATACCTCCTCCCTCCTCTCTCTGCCTCACCCCCAGGAGCTGTCCCAGGATGACCTACAACCCTTCCTCTCACGCCAGGGGAACACCGACTCTGCTGGTGCTCCTTCGTCTGTTGCTGATTATACTGGGTGAGTGGTGGTGGAGTGGGGTGAGAGGGGGGGGTGTGAGAGGGTGATTGATATGGGGAGTGAGAGGGAAGTGGGCGAGAGAGAGAGAGAGAGAGACAGGGAGTAGAAAGGGGTTAAAAGGGTTAAATTAAGAGAGGAGAGAGAGAGAGAGCAGGATGAGAGAGAGAAAAGAGCTAAGGGTAAAAGAGAGAGAGAGAGACAGTTTGAGGGAAATTTAAGGAGAGACAGAAAGAGAAACAGACATTGATTCTCTCTCTCTCTCTCTCTCTCTCTCTCTCTCTCTCTCTCTGTATTTACCCACATTACAAACAGCATCACCAGACAGATTAATTAATTATTACCAAACACAAACCATTAATTAAAAACCCCTGATTCTCTAACTATATTTTACCAAAATATTTAAAGATTACACATAAAATGACAATATAAGAAAAAATATATATAAAATCCTGAACCATTAAATAGCTTATTGTAAATTGGTGTTAGTAATTGTTTATTGCCATAGAGTTACCTGGCCAATTAAGATAAATACAACAGGTGTGTCTGATAGCTGAGCCAGATTTCATGTTTCTATATATTCACAATAACTCACCTAAACAAACAAACACACCAAACACACTACCAGCTCCTCGTCTCAGTACCAAACAAACACCCAGACTGACAGTAAACAACACCAACCTACCGGGTATGTGATCGAGCCAACAGACCAGACCTTCCCCCCTCCAGTAACACCACTAGTTCACATACACAACAAGCACTTCATCCCAAGCCTCGAATTACGTGAGAGAATTTAGTCGTTTGGAGGATAAGTTGGAATACTTATATAGGTGGATATAAAATGAGAACACATGGATAGGAATGAATGGATAAGGTGGATAAGGGAGTTAGTTTTGTAGTTATTGTGTAGGATTCCCTCTGAGGTGTTGGTAGTAAGGGTGGGAGGTTCGTGTGTGTGTTTATGTCTGGTTCATCTCTTTAGTGGTCGTTCTCTGTCACTTTGACCCTATATATAGTATGCTAGATAAAGCCTTCTGGGACTGTGTGTGTGTGTGTGTGTGTGTGTGTGTGTGTGTGTGTGTGTGTGTGTGTGTGTGTGATAACTCCACTCACACACACACACACACACAAAACTCCGACAGAACTTGACCAATATTGTGAAAAGTTCTTGAGTTCTCTCGTGTAAAGACCTCGTTCCTCTCTCTCCTCCTTCAGGTACGACAAGAGCGAAGTTCTACGCGGGCTAGAGGACCCAACCTCCTCTTCTGCCTATCGTCTGCAGGAGGCGTTGTCTGAAGCAGTAGCAGCAGCAGCGGCAGCAGCAGAAGGAGCAGAAGGTGTTCGTGACGGTGCAGCTGCCTTGTCTCCTACTGCTAACGAAGGAGTGACTCTGGAGGACTTAGTTCCTTATGATCCTGGGTACTACCTCTACCCTGCCTTTCTCAACCGTGGTGATGAGGTGAGTCTCACAGTCTCACTTTAATGCTGTGTTTATCTCACTCCTACTCTTCTTATCACAGTCTTATCTTCATGGTGCTGTTTCTCTCAGTAATCGTCCTCAAAGGGTTAAATAAGCACCCTCAAAGGGTTAAATAAGCGTCCTCAAAGGGTTAAATAAGCGTCCTCAAAGGGTTAAATAAGCGCCCTCAAAGGGTTAAATAAGCGTCCTCAAAGGGTTAAATAAGCGTCCTCAAAGGGTTAAATAAGCCTCAAAGGGTTAAATAAGCGTCCTCAAAGGGTTAAATAAGCGCCCTCAAAGGGTTAAATAAGCGTCCTCAAAGGGTTAAATAAGCGTCCTCAAAGGGTTAAATAAGCGCCCTCAAAGGGTTAAATAAGCGTCCTCAAAGGGTTAAATTAGCGTCCTCAAATAATTATAAAAAAAAAACATATACCACTGAAGAAAATAAACCCTAAAACGAAATAATAATAATAATACTAATAATAATAATAACAATAATAATAAAACCAATCAAGCCTTCAAAAAAAAAAATAATAGTTTCATTAATATTGTGAGGGAAAAATAAGCAAGATAAAAAAATATTGGGAAAGTTTTTTTTTTGAAGGAGATGAAATATTTTGGACGATAATAAACAAGAAAAAATATTGTTGATAATTACTTGGGCAGGTAAAAATATTATCTTTACTTAATGAGTTCTGTGTCTTAAGGTGAACGAAGGGGTTGAGGAGGAGGAGGAGGTGTAGGTGAAATAGGATAGTGGTAGGGAGGTGAAGGTGATAGTGGTAGGGAGGTGAAGGTGATAGTGGTAGGTAGTTGTAGGTGATAGTGGTAGGGAGGTGTAGGTGATAGTGGTAGGGAGGTGTAGGTGATAGTGGTAGGTAGTTGTAGGTGATAGTGGTAGGGAGGTGTAGGTGATAGTGGTAGGGAGGTGTAGGTGATAGTGGTAGGTAGTTGTAGGTGATAGTGGTAGGTAGTTGTAGGTGATAGTGGTAGTGTAGGGGAAAGATGATGACGAGAGGCGGCCGCGTTCACAAGACTAATTTTATTTTGAATTATGTAGATTCTGTTCGAGTCAAATGAGCTTCTAAGAGACAAACTAGATTTTCTTTTTCGATTTAAATTATCTTGTGCATTTGAGATGGTTGTTCTGGATGCAAATGAATCCAAACGAAGTCAATTGAGAGGGAAGTGTCTTTCTTGTTATTGTTATTATTATTATTATTATTATTATTATTATTATTATTATTATTACCACAATAAATGCCATTGTAATTACTATCATTACTATTTACCTTAGAGAGAGAGAGAGAGAGAGAGAGAGAGAGATGGATGAGAAAAAGCGCTAACTGACTCCATAGAAATCCAGGACCAATCACAATAGGCCATTCCCTCTTACGCGTGTGTTTTGCATTTTAACTTCAAAGAATTACATAACTTCTCGTCCTCAATATTTGTGATTTCAATAAAAGTGTTTGTGCATTAAATTACCTGTTCAGAAAAAAATTATTAACCTGTTGAGATATTTTAGGAATTTAATTATTACAGTGTGTGTGTGTGGTAGGGATGGATGATGGGCGGGGGCAGGGTGGGTGAGTGGTTGAGTGGATGACTATTATGAGTTTCACCACCCACGTCTTCCTTATTTCCTTCATCACTCATCCACACGTCATCCACCACGGCTACCTTCCCTCCCCCACTCATCCACACGTCATCCACCACGCCTACCTCCCCCACTCATCCACACGTCATCCACCACGCCTACCTACCCCACTCATCCACACGTCATCCACCACGCCTACCTACCCCACTCATCCACACGTCATCCACCACGCCTACCTCCCCCACTCATCCACACGTCATCCACCACGCCTACCTCCCCCACTCATCCACAAGTCATCCACCACGCCTACCTCCCCCACTCATCCACAAGTCATCCACCACGCCTACCTACTTTCTTCACTCATCCAACTACTTTTCGCTACTATCCCCGCCTATCCATCCGTCCGTCCGTCCGTCCGTCCGATCTTCACCATTAAGTCATGAGATGTGTAACTGGTGTGGTACTCTAGCAGGTGTGTGTAACAGGTGTGAGGATCCAGCAGGTGTGTAGGGGTACAGGTGTGTGTCTCTCCTCATGGTTACCTTGGCAACAGGTCGCTTCACAAAGGCTGACGAGCGGATGTGTCAGAGAACAATGGTGGTACACACACGCACACGCACACGCACATTACTCTTCCCTCTTTATTATTATTATTATTATTATTATTATTATTATTATTATTATTATTATCATTTACTGTTCTTATACATCATATAACAGAATATAAACAAAAGTCCAACATATAATACAAATTTTATTCATCTACCTCAAAAATAAATAATAATAATAATAAATAAAAAAAAACCTATTTAACATTTATTCCCAGGGGTAACTTTCATATTTATTATATTATTAAACAAATTATTGAATTCAGGTATATTTCCCCCTTTACTTCCCCTCCCTTATAATTACGAACTTCTGAAATAAATAGTTGATTTTTTTCCTCCAGTGTTGTGTACGCTAGGAGAACATTGGATGTTTGTTATGTTATGTCTAATGTTTTGAGAGTTATAAGGAGGGAGGGGGGGTGTTATAGGTGCTCCTCTAGTCATAAAATACATACATACATACATACATACATACATACATACATACATACATACATACATACATACATACATACTAGACCAACAACTCTCCCACCCTATAAAACATTTCATTAAAAACTTAAGACTGACATTTTCCTCTTAACTGTAGCAATAATAACTAACTAATTCTCTACAACATAAAGTTAGATTCTCAAAGATTCTTACGTTAAAATTTATCCCATCGGTATTTAGTGGCGATAGAATCTTTGCTTAATTTCTTCATCCTTCATCATTATATAGTAAGTTTAATAATGTTCTCTTAGATAATTTAAGTTGAGGGAGAATATTTTTAACTTAAGGATATTTGAGAATCCAACTTTGTCTCGTAACTAAAGCGAATCAATTCACGAGCCCCTCTCAGAATGGATCATTGTCTCGTAACTTAAACGAGGACAATTACGAGTGACTAATCAATTCACGAACACCTTTGAGAGAATCCAACTTCGTCTCGTAATTTAAGCGAGTCAATTACGAGTAAAGGGTATTTATCGGACCAGCCTCTGAGAATCTAGCCACCTGGTTTATAGGCTCGTGGATGTGAATTATTTAAAGTGGATGAGTCAAAACACGTTGTTTATACCCCGGGGCAGGAGGTAATGAAACACTGCTAGAGATATGAGGAGACACTACACCCTGGCCTCCTATGTCTCCTGGGTGTTAGGTAATGGATGTGGGATAATGAAACACTGCCTGGAGACAGAAAGAGATTGAATAAGAGTGAGAGAAAGAGAGTAAACGAGAGAGAGAGAAAGAAAGAGAGAAAGCAAAACAAAGAGGAAAAAGAGAAGGAAAAGAGAAAAAACATGAAAGAGAGAGAGAGAGAGAGAGAGAGAGAGAGAGAGAGAGAGAGAGAGAGACTAACCTAACATTCATAACTGCACCAAAAAAAAACAAAATAAAAATAAAGAAAAGGATTCCAACTCCCCTCCGCCCACACTTCATCTTCAATCCTGTTTATGACAACTCAGAGACACATTGGAATCTCTCCCTTTGTGTGTCTCATCTGATTGTCATATTTTCTTTCCTGAGTTTCTATCGTTTTTTTTTTTTTCGTTTTTTCTCTCTCTTTTTCCCTTTCATCTGTTATTGATTTGACTTGGATCTCATTTACGATCAAATAAACCAGATTTCTGCTTTTGTTTTATGATTCTAGATACGACACAGTTTATATAGTTACTTATAATATACTATACTCACTATATTATCACTATACTGCACTATACTATCACTATCACTCTTAGACAGGTTCAAATACACTAAAATTAATGTTCCTTTAATTAATCCCTACAAGGCCTCTTTAGTTTTTTATTTTCTGGACAACAATAATGAATTTATACACGACGCCATTAACCTCGGCTATAAGTGACGTGACAGGTAACGGAGGGCAGGAACGGAGGGCAGAGGGGCGGAGGGACAGAGGAACAGAGGAACGGAGGCAGGAACGGAGGGCAGGGCGGAGGGACAGAGGAACAGAGGAACGAAAAGACAAAGAAACAGAGGGAAAGAATCAATGAGGTGATCACAGACTAAAGATTGATGACCGGTTCCTTCTGTTGTAAGATATACTCTGGGCAGGTTCACGACACCATTGTCCTGATTGGTTAAAAAAAAAAATAAACACTGGATTGGTGAACTAGTAAACGACTGTACCATGGTGGTCGTAAGTGTGTCAACAGTAGGGTTTTTTTGTTTTTTTTCTACTCCTAAAATTTTCTTCAATTCACCTCTCTTGTCCTTTATCCCTGTTCCTTGCTTTTGAGTTAGTTAGTTAGTTAGGTGAAGGAGAGAGAGCCAAACGTGAGAGGTGGAGTTGATAATTTATGACACACGACAACAGACAGACAGACAGACAGACAGATAAACAGACAGACAGACAGACACACATAAAGAGAAATGTACATAGGTGAATTTCATTGAATAATTTAATCAGATCAGCTTAAATTGCCTGTGTGTGTGTGTGTGTGTGTGTGTGTGTGTGTGTGTGTGTGTGTGTGTGTGTATGTGTGTGTGTGTGTGTCATCTCGCGCTTTGGTGCCTGCCTGTGTAATGATGGATGTTTCCCATTTAAAATTTACCTGCTTGAATTTAATCACACACACACACACACACACACACACACACACACACACACACACACCACAAACACACACACACACACACACACACACACACACACACACACACTCACTCAGTGCATTAAACAGATCTTACTGATTTTATTTAACATTTCCACAACACGGAATATTTCTCTGAGACTTTGGATCACATTCTCTCTCATTTCCCACTCAGATCTCATTCTCTCTCATTCACATTCATTTACCACTCAGATCATACTCAACTAACTCAGATTATACACCCCCTCTCACTCCCCACTCAGTTAATACCTCTCAGATCATACTACCTCACACTCCCCACTCAGTTAATACCTTTCAGATCATACCCCTCACTTCCCACTCAGTTATTACCTCTCAGATCATACTCCCTCTCACCCCCAGTCAGTTATCACCTCTCAGATCATACTCCCTCTCACTCCCCACTCAGTTAAACCTCTCAGTCTTGCCTTCACCACTCAGGATATATTTTACAGGTGTGCGTGTGTTAGGGCGTTACACCTCAACATGCGAGCTCTTAGGATTTGTCGTCCCAGTTCACGCTAAGTCCTCCTCCTCCTCCTCCTCCTCTTCCCCCTCCTTCTCCTCCTCGCCTCCTCCTCCTCCTCCTCCCTCCTCCTCCTCCTCCTCCTGCTTGGGAAAAAAGTTGGGATTTTATTTGTTTATTTTGTTTATTTTTATTTTTTTTAATTGTATTTTATTTTCTACTTAAAATAATACTTATTTTTTATCTGTTTGTATTATTTAGTTATTTTTCTCACAAGGGACGTGTGTGTGTGTGTGTGTGTGTGTGTGTGTGTGTGTGTGTGTGTGTGTGTGTGTGTGTGTGTGTGTGTGTGTGTGTGTGTGTGTGTGTGTGTGTGTGTGTGTGTGTGTGTGTGGTTGATGGAACTAATGAAGGGTCTTGTTTTGTTTTCATGTTGGACGAGAATATGATATCACCTCCTCCTCCCCCTCACCTTCCCCCCTCACTTTCTTTCATCTCCCCTTACCCCTCCCCCACCCCACCCCCTCCTCTCCCCCCCCCTCCTCTCCCCCTCCCTCCCCTACCCCGTGTTTATAATCCTCCCGGGAACGTAATTAGGAAGGCTTATAAACAGAATTATTAAGCAGGAAGCATTATTTTATATTCTGGTCACAGCGTAACTGACATCTGTACAGTAAAACCTCTATTTAACGGACTATATGGAGAAGAATGTCCGTTATATCGAGTGTGTGTGTGTGTGTGTGTGTGTGTGTGTGTGTGTTTTATTTATGTTCGGTCATAATATACGCTGGAATGCTCTCTGAGTGGCCAATTATTATCACTGCTTTCTAAGTGGTCAGCTATCATGAATGCTCTCTGAGTGGCCCAAGACCTGGATATATATATATAAGGCAACATGCTGACGGGCAAGGCAGTAAGCCAACCACAGTCACTTGAGCCATTTAAAGGAACCCAAATACTCCGGGATAACAGTAACACGATTGTGCTCTTGGGGTGAATGGAGGCAGGAAGGTACAGGAGAGGCCACTTACTGAATTAAAACTTTAGTATTAGTGGTAAGTGTTGAGCAGTGGATGTTAAGGATTCTCTTTCTTTACTCTGTGTGCGTGTTGTGTCTGCAAAGAACTGTCTGTGTGTGTGTGTCAGAACCATTTTACAGTATTAACCCAAGACCTCGTGCCATCTTTTGGTCTATTCCAGGCCATGACGGGGGGCAGCAGCGGCATCAACAGCCTCAGGAAGGTCAGGAACAGCAACAGGAGCAACAGGAGCAACAGCAGCAGCGGCATCAGCGGCAGCAACACCAGCAGCAACAGCAACACGAACAACAACAGCCCCGACACTATCAGTATGGCCAAGAGGACCTGGCCGAATGGTTTCTCCCGACGAAGGGCATCCGGGCTCTCCTTGTCGATCGATGCGTCCATGAAGGTGCTGCGGGAGGCGCTCTATATGGAGATCATCCGCAAGAAGCAACGACAGCAGATGCAGAGAGCCCAGCACAACCAAAAGTTATTAAACAGCATTGGCAAGCGAGACGTGACGAGGCAGCTCCAACAGGAAGGAATCCAGGGTGTTTACCAGCGAGGCCAGAGGTGGGTGGAGGTGTAGGGGCAGGTAGAGTGGGTGTAGGGGCAGGTAGAGTGGGTGTAGAGAGAGGTAGAGTGGGTGTAGGGGCAGGTAGAGTGGGTGTAGGGGAGGTAGTGTGGGTGTAATGGAGTTGATGTAAGGTCTCAGGGTGTAGGGTGTATGACAGGGAAACATATTGAATGGTCTCAGGGTGTAGGGTGTATGACAGGGAAACATATTCAGGTGTTAGTTAATTAATATATATTTACCATAGACTCATAAGTAGGTGTAGCTGGTGTACTGTAGAGTCTAGTGTGGGTGTAAGTCAACCATTATTGGGTGTAATTTAATTTTCTTCATTACCCTTAAGTTATGATAATATTCATCCAATAATTCACAACACTTGATCATTTAAACACAAGATTCAATAATGTTTTCAATATAATGTCAAATTTAGGTTAAAAAAAAAGAGGAATTTAACTTCTATCTCAGGATGTTAGGAGAAAGTTTTTAACGAACAATATCCGTTAAATTGTTGTCCGTTAAAATGATTTGCCTTTTTTTCTTTTCTTTTTTCTGTAGGAAGTAAAGATGAGGATCAGCAGTAGTGGACAGTGGAGGTGTGTGAGTGTGTGTGTGTGTGTGCTCGGCCTCATGAAGAGCACCAACCAGCTAACAGGGGACACAGGCAGCGATAATGATGCTTTACGATGGTCTGCTGCGATGCCCCCTTCCCCTACGGCCCTGCTGCGATGTCCTCCTCACGGCCCTGCTGCGATGTCCTCCTCCACGGCCCTGCTGTGATGTCCTCCTCCACGGCCCTGCTGCGATGTCCTCCTCCACGGCCCTGCTGCGA